ACTGATGCGTATCAGTAGCATTTTCTTCATAGTGGTTTTCATTTATGAAGAACATACACACATAACTTGACCGCGAGCTACTTCCATGCGCAAATGAAGAGGTGGATAAACAAGCCTCATAAAAAATTCAAACATTGAAGGCGTTTGACGCATTCACGTAATAACGCAACTCCGGGGCAACGCAGCTTGACGCCAGAATGGCCCTGCATGCCCTCATATGAGGGCACATAGGAGTTTTTTTAAATTCCTTTTTTGGCGTTCCTGGGGCCGCTCAGCGAAAAACGAACCTCACTTTTATGGTCTATTTGTGTGCTTCCTTGTAGTGTGCATATCCCACACTAATAGCATTACTGCAGATTCGTCAAATGGGAGTCTTTATTATTGCTTCATACTTCGCAATTCCTAAATTCGACGACATCATAAGGATGACAGGAAGTGACGATCTCTCGCACCGACTTGATTTCAAAGTAAGTTTGAGGATGTTCCACTGCACATAATTTTGGAAAGTAGCCTTTAGGTAGGGAACACCATACAATGCCTTGTTCTAGCTGCACGAACATGCCTTGTGCTGCAGCGCGAGAACGGAAAGAGCTCGCGAGTCTCTGAGGGCAGAAAATGCTTGGATGAAGCCCGATCCTATTGTGATACGCAACAGTGGACAGTTTCCTGGGAAGCAGTGTACAGCATCGTTGCGTAGAACACGTGGCGGATGTCGTACTTTCCCGCTGGAATGGAGGGTCGTATTTGGTCGTTGTTGGGAGAGGGAGGGGTCGTATGTGGCTCTGAGAGAATTTTGGAAATTTTTCTCGGTTGTTGACTTTTCGTGATTTTTCCTGTTTCATTTGTACTACACACCCCCGCCCCGCTCGACGGGAAATCTTTGGGTGGGAAGCGAAAACTGGAAAATGTGGAAAAGAAACGGTGTCGTACCGACGTTACCATTTCGCACATCATGACGCTGTACCCTGCTGGGAAGTGAAAGATGGCGTAAAGCTGAACCAAGGAATTTTGTCGGTGGAATGCAGTTGCGGCCATATTAGGGCTTGCTTTCAGAAGCAGAAATCTGTTTACAAAAGGATTCATACATCAAAATCAAGTTTTGATGTGTATGCCTGACAAGAGAAAGGTTTTCCCTCATTAATCATACAGGGGTCCTCTGTCCGCTCTCGTTCGCATAGGACGAAAGACTTCTGGCGTCATAAAAAAGTTGTTACGAGCTCAACTACCCCAACGCGCTTTTGCACTAACTTTTGAAAATGTCTGTTCTCATCTCCATCTTTCACTATTCATTCTGAGTGGTTACCAAGGGGGGTTAAGTCAGCATGTGAAAGGGCTCCCACGCAGGAATGATGTTCTACTAGCATTGTACGATTCCGTTTTCACATTGATTGTAGTCAGTTACTCTCCATACATCGCACTCCCATTTCAAACTTAACAGTTCAAATGAACCAAATCTTTCTCGACGATGCAAGGCATTCTCTAATGCAAGGTGTGTACATTCCAAGCGAATAGGGTATTTGGTCTAGATGCCTATATTGCAAATATGCTGCAGTGAGCAGGTGGCACTTTTCGGTGGCCAATGAAGCGATTAGCACAAATCGCACAACTATTCTTGGCAGCCTACCATATCTATCGAAGCCCCTGATAATTTGCTGCTTACATGTTCAGCATGTTTGAGATCGTCCTATCAAAGTCAAAGCGCTTAAAAATGATGAGCTCCAACGGGAATTCACCCATGGTGGTACTTCGACTTTTGAGCACAAATTCTGCAATCATTTTGCATGAAAACATGGTCATTACAGGCAATAAAGGTGATATAGATTGATGTTCTTTCCAACAGGGCACATCGTTGTTGTGGAATCCCCAACAGGGGGTCGTATTAGGTCGCCGGGAGAGGGGGTCGTATTTGGGCTGAGAAAAATTTGTGACAGTTGATTTTTCTCGCTTCGCGGACGTTGTAAAAAGAGGGTCGTACTTGCTCGTTGTTGGGAGGGGGTCATATTAACTTCTTGCCCTTCTGGGAGAGGTGGTTGACTTTTCCTGATTTTCCTGTTTTATGTGTGTAGTGGTAGGTAATAGGTAGTGCCCACTACGGAAAGCGTGTGCTTCAGCGGAGCGAAAGGCCGGTTTCATTTGAAACGTGTCGTGATTTGCTCGAAGTTGCATACAGTCCTCATCATTGCGGACCGGTGGGGCGTGTCAGTGCGGCTGCGTTTGGCGCGGTGCCAAAGTCGTTCTGCACCAGTTGTTGAAGCGGGCAAGTGACATTACTGTATTATATCCTTCGTATTACTCGTTTTCTACCACTTTTTGTCGCATACGCGTTTCAACAAAAAGGCTGAGAACGGCTTCAACAGTGTGCACACTCATACTGGCTGACACGCCCCACCGGTCCGCAATGATGAGGACTGTACGTGACAATATAGATGCGTACTTGCGATGGCCAAATTTACGGAGAAAAGCATAGCTCAAAAGGTAAAGGTATAGATAGAATAGGCAAAGAGTTGTTTCGTACCACATCCATCAATTTTGTTGAGAGTTTGGAAGACATAAGCACTTTCAGAAATTCCTCCGAGTACACGAAAATATACTTGCCGGCGAAGTCGTAACCAACGTACCAACAAAAGGCTCAGTTACGACGAAGGGCAGCCTCACGACACAAAGCAGCACTACACTGAAGAGCACGACTACCACAAAAAGTACCCACACGACAAAAAGCACGACTGCGACGAAAAGCACAACTGCGAGCACGACAAAAAGCACGACTACGAGCCAAGCGATTCCACCAGCCAGCAGTGTGTGTTGATTTGTGTGTTCATTTATGTTATCTTTAATATTTTTTGAAGCTACACTGCGCATAGGAGGATTTTGCAGAGAAATGTCTCCGACAAAGCTCATCAATCCTACAAAATCTCACGTCCCCATCGAAGTAGCGCGTAACCAATGAAAAAGAAAACGATCAAAAACACGCTAGGTTTTCCTGTGCACTTGCATAGAACCTCCAAGCCTCGTCCATCGAAGTCACTCGAGTAATGCTGACCGATCCTGTTCACGCACAGTCCAGGTCTCTGAGGAGAACGTTAAGGCAAAAATGGCAATAGAATCTGAAAAATGGGCTAAGAGTGTCAAATGCTCTTTGTCTCCACTCTTCCGATGTCCTTGAATGCTTACCATGTCGTCCCTTTCCTTCTATCTGGCTGTGGACTTAGGTCGTAGATCATGTTAATTTTTCGGCCTGGATACATAGAATTCAAGGATGCTTTTGAACGGAGACTGGGCGTCAGGGGACAAACAATTTTAATGAACATCGTCTTCGTCGAGTCAAGCTGCGGGCAACTTTTTTCACATACACATCCCAATACAACTCTGTTCGCTCAATGGTATTTGTACTTTGCTGAGCACGAAATCGCAGACTCTACCTTGAACTGATTGTCTCCTCCAGTCGAGTAGAAAATAAAGAAAAATCCAATCTAAAATTCGTTCGAAACGTTGTAAATCCTTCTTTCCTATCAGACAGATCCTCTTAGACGATGAGAGGTTGTCTTGTTCAATCCTAATCCTGTCAAGTACAGTCTATACCGCTTCGACATGATCATATAAACAGGGTACAGCATCGCTGTGGTGAAACACATAGGGGGTCGTACTTTCCCGCTGGGGAAGGGGAGTATATGGTCGTTGTTGGGAGAGGGGAAGGGTCGTATGTGCCTTTGAGAGAAATTTGCCGCCTTGGAAAAAATTTTCCGGTTGATGACTTTTTGACTTTTCTAGGTTTTTCCCATTTCGCATCGGCTAGACACCTTCCGCCCCCCCCCCCCCCGTGCGACAGGAGA